AATTGTACAAAAGTATATACAAAATAAAGATTTAATAATATTAATAATATCATATGTTCAAAAATTTACTCTAATCATTATTTCAAATGAAGGATCAAATGAAAGATAATAAATTTCTAAAGATGTGCACATAAGAATTCAATTGATTTAAAATAATTATACGCAAAATTATATAATTTTTAAATATAATAAATAATAAATCAGTAAGAGATTTTTGTTAAAACTTTCGTCTCGTGTATGCTCAAATTTAGAAACTTAATTAAATAAGTTAATAAATATAATTGACGGATAGATGATAATCTTTTTAAATTTAAAAGTTGATCGATGCATTAATCTTTATCGGAATTAATTATCTTTCTTGTCTTTTCGTAGATCTGTTCTATTGTTCTTCTTGGTGGACTTTCACTAGTAGCGCGTTTCCGAGCCACAGCGTTATTTTTTCTTCTACAAAATTATACCATTCTTAAGCGTCATGCTAAATGCGAATGCGTATTTCCGAAAAGCAAGCGAGACACTAGAGTACCAGTACCGACTAATGAGGAGACATCGCGCAAGCAGTGAGAAGCGGTGTGAAGGGATACGTAAATTTTACCTGATGCATGGGGTCGTATCCCATAGAGCCGTCGTTGTACGGCTGCGAACCGTAGTCACTGCCGTTTATTCCCATGCTGTATCCGGCCATGTCCTGCGGTCCTCCGGGCGGCGCCGGCGACATCATCGGCGTCGGGGTGCCCTGGCTGGCACCGCCCATACTGTACGGCGATGCTCCTGCAAAAGCTGCTGTAGAAACAATCGCGGTGCATACAAAATTCGAGGGTGCGTCTTTTTAAGTTCTTTTTAAGCCATAGCGATTTTTTTTCCTCTCTTGCTTTTCTCGCGTGCTTATGCTCTCTTTGATTCTCGAGGGTAATCTCGCGTGATGTCGCGAGCACGTAAGACGTCTAACTATCGAAAGAATATGTATGTTTAGGATATGATAACGAAGATTATTCTAATTAAGTTTGCAATTCGTCTCGAATATATAATTCCCAATTTCGATCGGTTAAGAAGCGAGATTTCTCTTCTCGCGAAAATATTCGAGTCCTCTCGTAATTTGCTTCAGATTTGTGTGAACGTAAAGCCCCGGTTTCTAAAGCCGAGTATCTCGCTCTTGTAAAACCTCCGCGCCATTCGAGATAAGCGTTGTTTCGCAGGACAGCGAGATCGTTAGAATTCCGTTTCTTTAATTACGAGAGGACGGACCGCGCGGGCCGTTTCATTCGTGAACGTGGACGAGGAAAGACAAACGCAGAGAGTGCTGAAAGAAATGCGAGAGGCTCGGAATTTCCATCGGGAACCCCGGCGTTCTTCGACCCATCCCCCTCTCGCCATCCGACTCGTGTTTCTCCCCTTCTCTCACGTATAATTGGTGAGTTAAAAATATCTCACGCCGACGTCCGAAATAAAGTGAGATGCCTCGGTAGTTAAGCGAAGCGCGCGTAATTGCGACCGGGGTGAGATCCATGAATCCGTGGAATTTCGAAATGGGATCGGGAATTTTTCTTGCAATTTTCACGAGGACAAGGAAAAGGATCGCCTTCGAAGCTGGAAGACGAAAGTAGGTAGCGAGCGAGGACGTGAGACGAGCGTGTCTGCTACGGCGTCGAGGAATGTAACGAGAAAATTTCGTTTTATGTATGCTGCACCTGCAATACTTTCGAAAACTTGGAGGAGTTTTTGGGAAGGTTTAGTCACGAAAATCTTTCTTCCGATTATCACGTGGTAAAAAAGTGGTAAAAAGACAATCAGTATCGCTGGATTTATTCTTCGTCGGCGATTCATCGGCGGCCGCGATAATAATAATGTCACTGCCGCGCCGAACAATGGGCGATAACTCAGTCGTCTAATGATTTATAGTAATGAGACTTCCTCTATTTTGGTTTCACGCTTAAGACGTAAAAAAGAATGTGATGAGTATATATCATTGATTTGTCTGTTAATTACTTTAATTTATGAGAATTTCCGAAAATAATTTACATCTTTCGTTTTTCACTTTCGTTACGCTTTTCTTCGAGAAAACTGGGCGAAACAACCAAAGGAGCAATAAGCCCGAGAGAGCATCGAGAGATAGAACGATAGCAACGTAAAAGCACTTTGGAAGACATTCTATAAATTGCCATTCATAAAATAAAATCGCTTTCGACTTTCGTTAATAAAGGAATGTTGCTTTTCGATCATGGAGATTTGTCCATATATAGATACTTTGTGAAATGATTTTATAAATTATTATTACAGAATTTTTCTCATGCCATAAGCAAAACGAACTCGTGAAGGAACACCCGTCGCTCGTGAAGCGAAGGTTGGAACTTACCAGCTGCCTTTTTGGCTGCGTACAAATTCGCTTCCTCCTGTGCCTTACCGATGTTTTTCTTATAGCGTATCCTCTTATTTCCGAACCAATTGGACACCTGATAGCGCGAAACAAACATAGCCGCTCATTACGATTCGTTAGAGGATTCTCAAATCCACACTCGAAATATCTAATTCTTCTTCAAAATGTTCGCAAATACTTTATTCTGCGCCGAAATATCGTGACGTCAGAGTATCTTTTTCAAATAAGTTTAAAAACTTTTAAATTACTTTAAAAATTAAAAGTCATAAGGTGACGCAGGATATGTTAAGTTGCAAAAGTTCATCATCTAATATGTATGGGAAAAGATAAGTGGATGATACCTGGCTCACAGTAATTCCACATTTTCGTGCGAGCTCCTCCTTGGCCTCTTCGCTCGGGTAGGGATTACTGAGGTGGGAATAGAAGTATTCATTCAAAATTTCGGATGCCTGTTTGCTGAAATTTCTTCTTTTACGTCTGTAACAAGAATCAATTTGTACCATGTTAATTGCAACGAATAAACAAAAGCACAAAAACATATAGGATAAATCGAATGCATTTGATATCAGTATTATTATCATTCTAATACAAACCTGGCGTCCAAAAATCGACTCCTTAGGATCATTACGGCTTCGCAAGTGGACTGTTTCAGCTGCATTTGGATACTGGAGAACTTCTTGTGGATAATTTGGACCATCCTTTCGATTTCCTTTGGCGTGATCGGCCTAGTACGACTCTGTTCCCTCAACAGGTTCATTACGTGAGTGGTGAATTCGTTACAGGCCTAAAATAAAGACAAAGCATTGGGCTTTACCATCCATTAATCATTCGAGGAGACGCGCCGAAACCGAGGCATTCATTATAAGATAAACTATTGTTAATTAAAAACGTAAGGCTGTTTAGAAGGACAAATTTGGATATATTTCGAGCTCGTCGACATGATGAAAGACGGAGGACTATGACTAGCGAGACAGGAAGGAAAGTACTATGATCAGAGCGTGAGAGGAAAAGTCGACGAGGAAGTGAGAGACGAAGGACGAAGGACGCGTACGTATAATGCATTATTCCTGGTGGCTGCTCGGTTTAAGGGAAAAAGGACTTTGCTCGATATCAGTATTCGAGGCGAGCACGCTGTCTCCCGAAAGGGAGCGAGCCAGGGAGATAGAGAGCAAGACGGGCGGTGTGAGTCGAGCAGGAGGAGTGGCTTTTCCTGAGGGAAGGAGCCGGGAAAAGGCCGCGGGAGGGTGTACGGAGGGTGTAGGCGGTGGAGAAAGGGGATCGAACAGGGTGGCTTGCAATTTCGAAATGGATTCCATTCCGCCGACGAAACCCCTCGCCCCTTTCGTCCTCCTTTCTCGAGCCACCGTGTGGCTTCTCTCTCTCTCTCTCTCTCTCTCTCTCTCTCTCTCTTCTCTCTCTCTCTCTCTCTCTCTCTCTCTCTCTCTCTCTCTCTCTCTCTCTCTCTCTCTCTTTCTCTCTCTTTCCTCGTTATAATAAATAACACGACCCATAATTTAATTAGTTTATTTAAAGAGACGTAGAGATGCTTTATATTCTGAAAGTGATTCTGAAATCTCGTTTCGTTCGGCTTATTGTAAAACGTAATAAAGTATCATCCCCTGGTTGGTACCGTCCCCTTCCCCAAATTATGGCAATAGTACGGATAGATAGTTACGTGAGATATTTACATTCTGATATTTACATATCATACTTGTAATGCGATTTACGGTGGATCATACCAGTCGAACGGGGTATACCAGCCGCGGCAGTAAAACAAAATATTTATGCGCGCGTAAAAAGCCGCCCCATCCCGCAAACGCCGGAAGATGCATTCTGCAATGCTTTTTCCGAGATACAATACAGGGATAGCCCGAGGTGTGCGCGCGGTCGGAATCAGAGTTGAGAATCGGGCAAAATAAAGGCGAGCATGCACCGACGAAATTCATGGTAGAGACGATGTTTGCTGGCGGTGATCACGCGATCTCGTAAAACCCGATGCGGTTCTATTCTCGTGCTTGTCACGCCATGTTGCATAGTCAGGCAGACATTCACCCTAATGCAGCGAGTCGACCGAATTTGAATAGTAAATTTCGCTTATGGCCGAACTTTCTGTCCTGACAACGTCGGCCCCCGCTAACTAAACCAATTACCGAACTTTTCAGCTCTGATGAAATATTTATACCCGAGCAGGTTTTCGCAAATTTTACCCCGGATGTGTACGGCGCGATCGAGTTTTTCTCTCCTCGTGAGAAACGCTTAATGGACGATCGTTACTCATTGCGATTTTTTCCACGTTTGATTTAAGCGCGTTGGCCGCGAGTATCAACTCTTCGCGCAGGTCTATTCGGAAAGGAAGAGATTACGAAGGGAAAACGGGACTTTTCGAGAGAGAGAGAGAGAGAGAGAGAGAGAGAGGGGGGGGAAAGATTTAAAACTCGTTAACGGCCACGTTTATCGGCGGACCACCCCTCGACATGCGACGAGTTGCATCGCAAAGCGCACGCGACGCATACGTTTTCGGTGCATATCGTTGCGGCAACTACAAAGAAGCGCCGTACGCATTACAGGGGCGGATCTGGGGCGTATCCGAGAAGACGGTCGCGAATCATCGTTTACGATTTCCACTGACGGCAGCGTGAATCGTAACCGTTTTCCCGGGAATTGTAATCTTCCGATCTCCACATCAACGGCCATGTGCGGGATGACGCGGTGCGGCGTTCCCGTTACGGCCCCGACTCGTGAAAGAGAACAAGTATCGCGTTAACAGCTCCCGAAGATGAAAGAACGCGGCGCGCGTTACCGCGGCGATGCGTCGCATTAAAAATCATTTTGCGTAAAAAAAAAATGCAGTATGCCCTTTTAATCCGACCCTGACGAATGCGCCGGTGGACCTCCGGGCTGTGCGTGTTTACCGCGGGGAAACATCAAGCCCCCGCTGACACACGGTGAAATATGGGGTCGAAGCGGGTGTGGCAATTAAAGCACACGGCCCACACACTACTTACACACATACACACACACACACACACACGCACGCACGTACGTACACACGTACACACGTGCACATTCGTGGTATACACTCGCGGGAAACGGGCGTACGCGAACGGGGAAAAACTGCCGGCGAGAACGCGAGCGGCGTTAAAAAGAGTTATGCGCGTAGGGCCGATGAGCGGGCCCTATTTACGGTAAAAATGGCCGATTACGCGCGACATCATGCGAATGTAAGGCCTTTTACGCGCGTACGTCAAGCGGAATGACCGGTAATCTGTCCCGCGGTGAAAAAAAAAAAAAGGGACATAGACCGACGAACATGACCGACGATGAATACACGCGATTCTGTAATCGCTGTCGCGACTTTACGTCGCGACGGCGTGTTGACCGCGCGCGAACAAAATCCCTAAATCGTAGCGGATTATTTTTAAAACAAACCAGTAGAATTATTATATGGATTATTTACATGAAAGAATTACGACGCAACGCGAATCATCTGTTTTCCGAGAAAATTTTCCGTGTAATAATTCCATCAAATGTTCGCGATTGAAAACGCTTTGACCATGTAATTCGTATATTAAAGCGAAATTAATTAATCACATCACATTTGCGTTTTTATTTAGAAGCTTTTAATTAATGTTCAACTATAATATAATTATTCGATCGAAGGAGAAAATTCTTTTTCCTTTTTATTCCGTCAATTCGCGATGTCTCAGCGTCGAGATAAGTGTCCAGGGTCGAATTGCTGTCGCAGCGACCGGGTCAGGGCAGCGATTTGAGAAGGAAGCGACCGAGGGAGAAATTCTTAATGAAACTGCACGTGATAACATCGTCGAATTTCCGTTAGAACGCAGCAATATCTCGATGCAGTGATTTGCGTTCTCTTGAAAGAACCCGTGTATCGCACGCGACACGCGGGCAGAGTCCGGCACGCGAGATTTTACTTAACGCGAGCGGGCCGGTTCATTAGCACGCGAGTCGCCTTGCCCGAGACCGATTCAGCGGCGGTCGTTTCTTTCGGACATGCATAACGTTTCGTCTTATCGGTCCGTTCCGAACGATCGCGAAATGCTCGAAAAGTGGCTAGGGCTAGTCGCCGTTAAAAACAAAAAAAAAAAGAAGCACACGGTTCCGTTCGAGAATCACTGATAATAAAAATACACGAAGTATACACAACGCGATGTTGTGGAGATTATTTTGATAAAAACTGTGGAAGTAGCGATTCGAGTTACGACGATCATCTCGCCAGTGATTTAATAACGCGTCACGAAGATTATCTAATAATGTTCCCCCGGATGCTCCGAGGTGGGAACGACGCTTGAATGTTCGCTGTTTGATGATTTGTCGGGACGCGGAACCGCGGCACCCCGTCGCGTCGTGTCGCTCGCATATACTATAAACGCAAACCTTAACGAGACCGCGAGATCGTCGGTGGACGATAAATTCGCGTCGACGTCGTTGAATTTCACGAGCGGAGAGATTATCGATGGCGGAATCGAGCCGGCTGGATAGCGCGCCGGGATGGCCGAAATTTGTCAGCCGCCGGATCTCGACGATAACCGCGAGGCTGCGCGTTTAAATTTTTCATTTCGCCGAGAGTTCTCCCGGCGAGGGTGAGTAACGGCGCTCGTTTACGCACCGCGAGTTCATTTTCACTGTTCGCCTTTTCCGTTCCCCCTCCTCTCTCTCTCTC